CGTGGATTTCTGGTTATAACCAAATCAGCTTCGAGGCCATAGTTCCTATGGTTTCACATTGAAACGCCAAAACTGTTGAACAGTAGGCCTCACCGAACAAGAGTCACTAGCCACCCATTCTACTCATCGTCTTATCCCACAAGCTACTTCTCTGTGCATTGCATTACCGCCTGATTATAAAATAAAGTGAACGTTCGAAACATCACAGCGATTCTCACATTCAAATCAAGGTTAGAATACTTTGAAAAGCACGGTCACCTTGTTTGTTTCGTTCAGCGAAAATTAAACGGTAGTGAATAGGCAGTAATGCTCATGATAATACGTTGGTAGAACTTTCGTTCACTGGAAAACCAGACGCATTCGGTTCACTTTTTTCCCTTCGACGAGACGTATCGTCTTTTAGATTCCAGTTTCACTCACTTCAAGAAGTGAGCCTGTTTTTCTCACGTGATAAGCCGTCTAAGGCTAGTTCACAGCAGTGTTATCACCACCGAACATAGGCGTCAATTGTATTAATGCTTATCAGTGATACGTATCCTGCATTTAATGCCGGCCGCCATGCACAATGTAAAAATTTACCGTGCCAGTGCAGCAGCACCTCTGAAGTTTGGACAAATCGATACAAACCTATCGATTTTTGCCGCCGCGCTTAAGGCCTTGTTAAATGTGTTCATTATGCCAATCGAAGACTTGTCAGTCAAGTAGCTTTCTGACTACTTTAAACAGCAGTTTCAGTTCTTTATGGGTAGGAAGTGATTTGGGTGCGGTCGAATCCAGCGGTTTCCGTTTCTCTACTATCCGCGTATGACTTGCATATTTGACCTGAAGGGTCCAACCTTTTCAGTGGAAACCGTTAATCGATAAATCAAATCAACTGTTGTGATATTAAGCTGTTTTGTTTACATATCGGATGCAACTCACCATTTATTCCAGGTAACTCTAACTAGTTGAATCATCCTGAGTACGCCAAGTAATAGTAAATAATAAATCAAGGCCCGGTTATTCGTCTTATTCGAGCGTTTTGAGGCTCTACTGAACTGAACTGAATAATGAATGATTTTGCATTCGTTGCAAGCCAGTACCATGGGGCCGACGCTCGTCGTTATGCTAAAATTTGAAACGTGATTATCTTCAAGTAAAATGAGCCATATTAAATGAAGCATACTATGACGAAACACGAAGTTGTGTCCCCTTATTTATGAGTGTACGGCACCTCCATGGGGCTTGGGAGGTCAAACGAACGGCCTCATTTAAGACCTATGTGACGAAGAATCCTTACATAGGATATATATATCGGTAATCCGTGTCAGAATGCTTCGCCTTTTGACCGACTAACTGTACTTAAGATAGTAAATTAGCAATTCTTGCATCCCTCAAGTCTGGATTTCCGTCGCAGCTTACCATTAAGTTCTCGCACAGGCCTGTGAACGTACAACTGAGCAAAGCGTTCGTGAAATTGTATACATTCTTCGCTAATATATCATAGTGGTTCTCTCGTCGTGATGCTTATCTTTTCGCCTCATTCCGGGTTTGATATCCTTCGGGAACTGCAAAATCGAGGCTCTGGTGAGACGGAACTGGAACTAGACTACCTGCCAGTAGACAATTATTTTATGAAAATACTAAAAAATGAGAATAGATCAGCGAGGAAATTCGTCACAGAAAATCCTCATTACTGAAAAGTGCGGTGGTAGTGGTCTGTATTCAAAGCAGACATCGATACTGTGTTTTCACATCTTATTATTTCATTTGGGGTCTATTCATATTATCGGATATGTAAAATAGGGGATTTGTGAACTTGGTACAGCATGTAACATTAAATTCTCAACTGTGCCCAGTGTCCTTCCTAGTTCCTGTGGAGCAAACCAAGTGTCGTCACGCATAATCAAAGTTTTGAGGTGATATAATCTTTCAGATTTACATTCAAGTTTGAGGTGGCAAGTTGGTTTTGTCAAACACTCCGCACCAGACATGTCATCGTGCTTCTCTCCCGAAATTTGACATCCGAAATCCGGTAGTGTTTTTTAAAAGGGCTAAAATGCCACAAGCTTTCTTCTTCGTTTGTACTCGTGCGAATTTGAGAAAACTCGCAAACGTTACGAAAAGCAACAGAATATTACCACGATTGATCATGAAATCAGTCAGAGATAAGCACAATGGCAACGGTCCACGTCAAATTAGGAAGGCTACTTGACCCTGAATTCCGATGTAACACTCGAAGTTAACTAGGATGAAAACCGGGAGTTACATAGGGCACACCGTTGCTCAAAGATCTGGCTTCGTTTGGCAGTGAGCAGTGGCGATTTTCCGAACAGGAATTCTGTATTATTCCGAATGGAATGCCAAAGAAAACCACAAAGTTATACCACTACTGATCTAATCTACTGGTAACTGCTTGTATAAGTTTCTCCAAGTTCCCACAAGAACCACTGTGACCACGCCCAATGCATCCCGTTTTAATACATTTATATAGAGAACCCTGAATGACGTTTACGTTCGATAGTGTGAAAGCTGTTGTGACGGGTCTTTGCTGGCTATCTCAACATTTCTGTTATTATTTTTGGACTTATGGACAGTATATGAATACACACAGTTTCCATACTATTTCCATGTGATTTCAGGGCTTTCGGAATTTCCCAATGCTTTCATTCTCCGCTATTTTATCAAGTATTGCCCACTCATGTTCTTTAACATTCAGCTGATTTTTCTTTAGATGTTTCATTCTGAATCGTTCACTGATTTCTTGCGCCTTTGTGCTTCTTTGGCAAAGTACCCTTCTAACTTGCTTTGTGGTATTAATGGAATGGGTAACTTCCTGCCAGATTTGGTGTCTAGGGCGAAAGTGAAATGAATAAACCACTTTAATGTACGGACAACATTCAAATCTACGTGGCAAATAACAGTGTAATGGCGATACTACTGGTGAGAGTGGCACGCGAGTAGTATGTTTTCTCGTTAATCTGCTCTGCATCTCTTGAAAAGCGAAACCTATTACGGAATTTGTGGAGTCACTCTGCAGCATTTGCTTGGATTTGAGCAACGGTCACTGAATATCTTGGAAAGTTCAGGAGTACGATTTCAAGGAGTAAACGGATAAGCAGTTTTTGTAAACAAGATGCATATGAGATTTTTTCTTCCCTGTCCAGTAGTCTGTAACTGTTCGGTTGGCATTCTCTAACGAATAACTCCGCGGCGAACGCCTTCTTCCTTTAACCAGTACATCTTGTTCGTTTGTTTTCATTTAGTGCTGAATTCCTATCGATCTTCTCGGGGTCAAATCACCTGTATACGTGTTACCGACGAAACAATGGACTGCGCCTTTTGTAGAAATTAATATAGTACAACTGGTGTAGTGTATTCGTTTGCAAATTATTCTAGCTTTAACAAAAGGTTCAACTGAACAGCATATTAATTTGGAAACTGTCCTAAATGGGGCGGCTTCATTCGAGTTCGTCGCTGACACAAAAGCCGTTTGAAGATGAATGTAATTCGCCAGTTTGGACCTCAGTTACAACACAAACACGGTCGAAACGCAGGTGCTACATGTACCTGGTGAGTCTCGAGGAGGGTGGTGGACTGTCAAAGTGTTTTCAGGAAACTTATGAGTAGCGTGTTACTTCATGAAAGAGGGCGCCTTCCCGTTAAGTTTCGTGCTCTGAATCAAATCGGCTGACAACATAATTCAGAACTTCACGACCTTGAACTGTTGTTACATCAGACCATGCAAGATGCTTCGCAATCCACTCGTTACCTTGGGTAACTATCAGAGTACAAGGTGGCAGTGAGATGTACACGGGAACGCAGTCACTTGCTGGTTTATACAGTGCGGTAGAATGCTTATATGACCTATACTGAGTGACTGACAATGATGGTTCAGGTGTGTACCCATCTCAATCCGTAGACCAAACCCATTTAAAACTATTTCATGACGGTGCACCGGGTATCGGACAACAATACACTGATAGTTAAAACCGACAAGCAAAAGTCGCAAATCCATATAACCGTTTGTTGTTCTCGTATTCCCTACAGTTTCACTGACGTTCACTGTTCACAGTTAGTTCACAGCTAATCTGTGTATATGTTTAAAACCTTTTCCTGAGGAGTTTAAATTTACTACTTGATACTTGACGTGGTTTCACCGAGGATGATGTATTCATAGGTGAAATACCAAGAGCAACTTTCGGAAATAAGTGAATTTCAACTTTGGAAAAACTGAGTAACCGCCTGGCTCAGTGTACAACAGTTTTTTCTCCAACTATTTACGGATCTAAGAAAGTTGATTATATTTCCCTAAGTGCAGAAACGCCGGTCATCTGACCCGCCAGGTTGCAGTTTGAAGCTGTTGAACAAGGCTTACATCTAACATCCAGCTTAATGCATTTATTAGGAAATCGGTGAATGCTTGAATAAAGCACTCCGTCAGCGGACAGAGAGTCACACCAAAAGCATGATGCCTTGTTCCCTAAAGACAATCGTTAGGTGTTCCCGGCAATAATTATGCAACAAACTAAATGTAAGATCTCTTTAACACCTAAATATTTTCAACACTGACACGCTTCTGTGGTCTGGGAGTTTTGTTCGGGGACAACGTTACTAGCCAGACTCATGTGCCTTTACCATAAGCTGACTGTTGTCTTAAAAAATACTGCTTTTTTCAAACCCAATAACGGAGATAATCATCACTTGATGGTCATCAGATGGGAATTTCATAAAGTGTAAACCAAGCCAAGATTTGGGAATTTTTTCTTACAGTCGGTGAAAGATTAATGGTTTGGATGACCGGAATTTGTCGGTCCAAATGTCGTGACGAAAAAATTACAGAATGAGTTTAATTTTAGTTAATTACTATGGTAATGGACTGTGTGGTACCACTGTAACACACAAAACTTGAATTTAATTGTCACAGAGATGTAACAATGTTTCTAGCACGTTCGCCCTGTCTATAATTATAATTAGCTGTCTCAAAAAGAAATCAGTGTTGCTCATTTCACCTATTCCAGCTCTAGACTCATGATGTACGACCCATCGTACACGGACTACGCAGATGCAGGTTACGTAGACGAAGATGAGGAGGAAATCCCGATGGCCGAGCGAGAGCTCGCTGAGGACGCCGAATGGAAGCTGATCCAAAAAAACACTTTCACAAGATGGGCTAACGAGCACCTTAAACCGAAAAATGTAACCGTCGAAGATTTGCAGTACGATTTGGCCGATGGATTGCGTTTGATTGGATTGGTGGAGGCGCTGTCCGGACAGCAGTTCAAACATGTTAACCGGAAGCCAAGTTTTCGAACCCAAAAGCTTGAGAATGTCACAATGGTACTGCGGTTTCTTGAAGAAAATGAAGGTTTACGTCTGGTAAATATTGGTAAGTACAGTGATAATGTGAGAAAGGTTATCGCATATTAGGGTATTTGTCCTCAACTTGATCAGTGTTTCAGCTTCTTTCCATCGAATGGTCAACTAGTGGTATCACTGCATCCGAGTGGCTACACCAAGCAGTGATACGAAAAACATTACACTGAGGTTATTTTGGGCTTAGGTATGAAAGACAATGCACCAAACACTAACTAACTGCCTATGAGTCGTTAGTGTTTTCATACGTTTTCTGTAAACTTCGTTCAGCTGTAAATCGTTCAGCTGTGGCCCCCTTTCGGTGCCTAACTGCCATGCCACCCGAAGATTGCACGAGGGCTGGGATACTGCCAGGTTGCCCAAACCTAGACAGAGGAAGTCGAGAGGCAGAAGTCGTGTTCGAGCCACGGACCTTCCGGTTACTAACTTTGCGCTCTAACCACTTGGGCCATCTCGCTCCCAATTCAAAGGAGTTAGTTATCATGTATAGGTTCTTCCGGCAGAGTAAACACCCCACAACTGGAACATCCGCTCAGGTAACTAATCTTCATATTTCCTTGAACAATTTCGGTTAAAATAAAATCACGGTTTTCAGACTTTCAACAAAAACAGTGTCCCGTTTCCAAATCCAGCTAGGTCAGATAAGCCTCTTTTTGGCTAGAATTCGCGTCCCAATGTTTAACAATATGTGTATGGGGGGGACGACATTGCTCAGTGATCAGAGCGCGGAATTACTTATCGGAAGGTTCCGACCCGACATGTGCCCCTCGAATTCCCCTGTCTAGGCTTGGGTAACCTGGCAGTATCACAGCCCTCCTACTACCTTCGGTGGCATGACAGCTAGGCGCCGAAAGGGTGCTACAGATGAATGATCACCATTCCTGCGCGGATAATTTGAAACCATACTAGATCCTACCGGTGTGAGTTAGGCCTCTTAGAGATCCAATTATCCTTTTGCAAACTTGCGTAACGATCCGCTGAAAATGAAACAACCGAGGTTATTTTTAAAGATTTTTCCCAGCCATTCCGAACCTCCAGAGAATCTTTAATTACGTCAATTCAAAAGACTTTAACCATTCAGTTGAACATCTTTTCTTTTGATTTTCAGATAGTACAGATATTGTCGATTGCCGAAGTAAACTGATTCTTGGATTGATATGGACGTTGATTTTACACTACTCCATTACTATTCCTCTTTGGGAAGGCGAGATCGATCACGGAGTAAGTTTTAATCGCTCCACCGTTACAGTTCTAGTGTCAGCCTAGTTTGAGCTGTGTTCAGCACCGCAATTTGCACTTATGTGACCCGTCGATCGACATATGGCCAAGCTCATCCTCGTAGTCACACGACCGAAGATTTCTCTACTACACCATATCTACATGCTTAGGGGGCTCGAATAGGTTTACCTAACATGGTGTTGGTCAGAGCGGTTTGAACTTAAACGATATACATTTTTCCCATACTTCGGGAAGATTGGGCAACGTCACCACAGGAACCGCCTCATTAAGGCCGCCTGGATTTTCCAACAAAATGACGACATCTCATGGTCTGGAAAATCATAACCTACGGGTAAAGCGCAAAGGGTGAGGGGGTGAACGTTAGGACCGGGGGTTCAGATAGACCACAAGAATTGCGCCTACTCTCTCGAAACATTGTTTTCCACGGAACAAACAATTTGGCCACCACATCATATGACTGCTAGAAAAAAAACTAATGGAAATTGTAATTAACACTGCTTCACCGGTTTCAAGAAAAAGCTTTCTTGCCGTTTAGAACAGATTACCATATTTTTCCACTAATGACACACCCGTGTCGGATCACCTCAGCCCGTTGTCGTGTTATGTACCTCGAAATCCCTCCTCTATTGCTTCTAGCTTTTGTCACGGTATTCTCTAAATTAGCCAACCTACGCACATGTGTTCTCTCCGTGCATAAGACAGTTTGTACATCTGTTCCGGTGAATCGGTTTAGCAACAATCCTATCGAAGCGACTAAACGAGTGAAAGTCACGTCGTTTCAGTGCCCGCATTTTCACTGCTTTATATAGTCACAAACTAGTATAGAAAACTCACTGAGGGTCCGAGGGTCCCACATCGGACGGTAAAAGTTGCGGTAGGATGCAGAACTCACTATACTTACCTCGAACTGCGGTATCCCATATCAACGGAATGCTTATTCGAGGAATGAAATATGACTGTGAATATCTCAATTCTGTTTGAAATGAAGTCTAACTATATATAAAGTGATTTTCTTCTCGAAGAAGGTTTTTTGTAATGACCCATATTTTCACCAGTTCCTTAAACTGTGCACATAAAATCGGGTGTTTCACAAGTGATATTGAAAATGCTTTTTACATTACTTTTCATCTATGGAGACCAGGAAGCCATTCTATCGGTTTGCAAGCCTTTCAAGACGAGGCCATCGATCGCCATCTCTACGCCGCAGAAACTATTTCCTCGAACAAGATGCGTTGCTTCGCGCGCGAGAAGA